GTAAAGTAAGTCACCGAAGGCACCAGTGGGCCCGCTGCTTTGTCATTGTCCCCCAGCTGCCCAGCCACCTCGCGGCTCGGCGGGGCTGGGCCTGGGGTGGCCGACGGGTTTCCTCCTTTGCCTGCAGCTTGCTTTAGGCTCCAGCGCCAGGAGCACTGGAGGGAGATGCTAAGGACGCAGGAGAGGAGTCCTTGACCTCGTGCTCCTCCTTCTGGGGGTGTCCCGGAAATAGGCTGCCTCCCTCGTGGGGGCCTAGCCCCCTCCTCACAGAACCAGCCCTGGCCTCTGGGGGCTGCACTCCTGGGTCCTGGAGCTGCGGGTGGTCCCGGATTCCTCCTTCCCTGGTGGGCTGTGTGGCCTCCTTCCTCCTTCTGCTCTTCCTGCCTTCAATACTCGGGACATGTGTGCAGTCTGACCCCTGTGCGGAGCCTGCCGCTCTGGCCACCCCAGCTCCTTCAGTCTCCCAGAACCTTTCTTAGGCCTGTCTTCTCTTCTGTACAGGGGGTCCTGTGATATACTGTGCAGTGTCAGGCAGGAGGCTCCCTCTCCCAATCCCCGGGCACGCATCCGCCCCCTTGGATCTCCAGCCTGGTCCAGGCCCTCGAGGTCTCTGCTCGCTGAATGCAGGGGCCCACAGATCGGGGCGGATGTCCATGTGGGTGACCGTTTTCTGGGTGAAGTCTTGGCTTCATTTTTCGCCCCCGTGTCTCGATCCCTCATCGGTAAAACCGGATGATCACAGTGTGACAGGGCTGTCCTCAGCAATAAACAAGACAACGTCCGTCGCAAGGCCCGTAGCAAACTGCTGTTATTTCTTTGGGCTCCATGTTGCCCAAAGATTGGGGGTTAAAAGAGGCTATTTCGCTCGTAAGAAATTGCCAGTATTTTATGATTAAAGCCAAAGCGCCCATGTAATTGAGAAAACGATGCATTCGCATGGATTTTAAAGCTGAAATAAAAGCAAGGGTAAAGGCTAAGCCCGGTGCTTCTATGCCTGTAGGACCGCCGCCGGAGCCGGAGAGCCGCGACATGGGCGTTTACTCCGCTCGCCTTAACCCTGCCGGGCAAACCGCTGGGCCGTGAACCCCGGACCCAGGACCCTGCGGGCTTTTCTGCTCTGCACCTGCGACCCCTTCAGAGCCCGCGCCCAGGCGAACCAGCTCTGTGCGCAGGCGCACCACGTGCCTGCTGCCCCTCCGCTCGGCTTCTCCCGCAGCCCGGACAGCGACGCCATTGGCCGACCGGCTTATGCATATGCAAAACAAGTGACCGGGCGCTGTTGGGGCTGTGGTAGGGGCGTTGCGGGCGGGGGAACCATCCGGGGCGGGGCCACGGTCCGGGGCGGGGACGGCAGGGGTGACTGGACCTGGGGACGGGGCCGGGAAGGAGACGCGGGCTGGGGGCGTGGCCTAGCCGGGCAGAGGTGAGGCCCGCAACCCCGAGCAGGACCAACAGCCCGGAGCGGGACTGCAGGAAGACATGAGCACGGTCGACCTTGCCCGCGTGGGCGCGTGTGTCCTGAAGCATGCGGTGACCGGGGAGGTGAGGCCGGACGAGCGCAGGACGGTGGGTGGGCTCCTGGGACCTGCCCGTGTGCCCTGGCAACGGCATCCCAGGCCGGCCTCGGGGGTCCTGACAGGGTCGTGGAGCTGGGGGGCGCGGACGTGTGTGGGCGGTGGTCCAGCGGCACCCCTCGCCCACCCCACGCAGGCCGTGGAGCTGCGGAGTCTGTGGCGGGAGCAGGCGTGCGTGGTGGCCGGCCTGCGGCGCTTCGGCTGCTCGGTGTGTCGCTGGATCGCCCCGGACCTCAGCAGCCTCAGGGGGCTACTGGACCAGCATGGCGTGCGCCTGGTGGGCGTGGGGCCCGAGGCCCTGGGCCTGCAGGAGTTCCTGGACGGGGGCTACTTCGCAGGAGGTGCCTGTGCTCTCCTTCTCTCCTCCCACTTGTAGCCCCACCAGCTACCTTGAGATCCTCCCCCACGCTCAGGGTATTGGTCATCCCCTCCTTGCCCAGCCCTGACCCTTCTCGCTCCAGGATCTCCAGTCATCTTTCCTGGGTCCTCCACCTGTTGCCCTTACCTGCATCCCCAGCCATGATGTCCCTCCCACTGTGCACAGTGGCAGGGCCCAGTGGTGATGCTGGTCTCCAATCACCACCATGGTCTTTACTGGGTAGCTGCCAGCTGCCCACCTTCCCAGGAGCCTGAAGTAGCAGCTAGGACAAGGCTGTGGCTTGCCCCCACATTCCCACCCTGCTAGACTCCTCTCCCTGGCACTCACAGAGCCCTGGGCCGAGTGGCAGAGTCCAGGCGAGTCCTGCTCCTCCCTGACCCTGTCCCCTCTGGGCCTCCACCCTCCTCTAACAGTGGGGACACTCAGCTCTGCTCTGCTTCTCCCTGTCCTGCGTGGGCAAGCAAGGGTAGACAGGGGGCTAGATGCAGGGGGCTGGGCCAGGTGGTAGATGGGCCTGAGTACACACCTGTGGCCTTTGTTTTCCAGAGCTCTACCTGGATGAAAGCAAGCAGTTCTACAGGGAGCTGGGCTTCAGAAGGTGAGTGTGGGGGCACCGCTTCCTCCCCTCTCCCTGCTGGCCTCTTCCTGGACACTTGCCTCGGTGGCATCCGCTCCTCAGCCCGTCCTTCTGCAGAGCTGTCTCTTGGGGGCTGTTACAATTGTAGGTTGGGCTTCTCACCCAAGATCGACCCCCAGCAGCCTGCAGAGGGGGCCCGGAGCCTAGTGCCTAGGGGTCATCACAGCCCCTCCAGTGCCCGGGTCATACGTATACTTGCTGTGGGGCCTGATCAGTGGTGCCCGCTGAGCCAGAACCCCCTGCTCACCTGGCCTGGGGGCCAGTCCACACTCCCCAGGTCTTCTGCGGGGCCCCAGGGTGCCCCACAGCTCTGGCTGGGCTGGCTGCTGGCTGGCTGCCCCATGGCCCCCGAGTCCCTGGTGAGATGTGAAGCTTGCTTGTGTGAATTGGTCTGTGCATCTTGTAGAGTCTGGGGACAGGCACTGGGGCCAGGGCTTCAGAGAGGAGCCAGGGCCTGGACAAGCCAGCTGTGTCTTCGCAGGTACAACAGCTTGAGCATTGTGCCCGCCGCCCTGGGGAAGCCTGTGCGCGATGTGGCCCTCAAGGTTTGTGACGGCCAAGGCTGGGTGGGACTTGGGGAGGTGGGGCTTCCCTCCCTCCAGGCCAAAGCTGTTGGCATCCAGGGGAACCTGTCTGGGGACTTGCTGCACAGTGGAGGGCTGCTGGTGGTTACCAAAGGTGGGCTGGAAAAGGGGCATCAGAGGTCAGTGCCTGGTCTCATGGGGTGGGAAGGTCTTGCTAAACTTGGCCGCATGCCCTGACCCTCTCTTCCTCCCTTCCTCTGGTTTGTTGGTCTTGTCAAGTCTTCTCCATGGGGTGGCCCAGTTCTTGAGTGTTGGCTTAGCTGGGTGGGGTGTGGCCAAAACAGCCCACTGGTCAGGATAACCAGGTGGGGTCGTGGACGACCAGGGCTGCCTCCATCCTCCCAGCCTGTAGGGGTACCCTGACCGCCTCCCCACTGCTGTAGGTGGTGACAGGGCGTTGCTACACTTCGTCCAGAAGTCCCCAGGCGACTATGTTTCCCAGGAGAGCATCCTGCAGGCCCTGGGCATCTCTGCGGAGGGCTGTGCCAGTGAGTCGCCCCAGGTGAGCTTGGGCCTGGGGGGGCACTGCCTGCTAAGAACAGCCCCCTTTGCACACCCAACTTCCCTGGGTTGAGTGCTGGGTGTGATCAGGTGTTAGGTTGGACCTTGCAGGCTTCAGGTAATTTTGCACTCATGGCAGCCCAGGATGTCCTTGTCACCCCAGTCCGCAGAGGGGTAACAGGCTGAGAGCAGTGGGGAACCGGGGACAGGCTGGCTAGATGGGTGGGCACAGCAGGGCCCTCCCCAGACAGCAGTGGGCTACCCAGGGCTGCAGGGCAGACGAGCCGCCTGTCCTCTTAGCCTCAGGGGGGCCAAGGCTCGTCTGAGGTGACCATAGCCACCATCAGTGAGGTCCTGGTGGCTGGCCTGTGCCCAAATGGAGGGGAGTGTCCAGCACTTGGGCCGCAGACCGCTGGTGGGTGGGACCAACTGCCCTTGACTCCGGGAAGGGTGGCCAGCCTGACTGGGCTTTTGCTGCTCCACAGTGTGATGAGGAGGCGTGCACAGGGTGAGCCCCCGGGGCCTCTGCGGATCCTGGAGGCATCTGCTGCCTCGGGCATGCTGGGTGTTGGGTGTGAAGAATCTCTCCAGAACTTCTGGACTGGTGCACCAAGCTCTGCCACGTCCCAGAGTGGCAGTGAGCATTAAACTAGGTTTCTTCATTGGCTCTGAGCCCTGTGTCCTCGGCAGCTCGTCTGTGTTGCTGTCGGTTTCCCCGGCCAGCAGGGCAGTCAGGGGCCTGCAGGCTTCCCTGGGAGGGGGTGGGGAGTGCTGGAAATGCTCCTGCAGCCTCCCTGGTGACCTCAGGCCTGTGGCACAGGACGGTCAGGGCTCTGAGGACGGGCCCGGGGTGCGGGAGCTGAGGGTGGGATTGGGAACTCCCCAGGAGAGAGCCCGGCCTGGAGGGGTCGGGCTCAGTGCTCATGTCTGCTGGGTTTCCAGGGAGGAGATGGTCTCCATCCAGCCGCTGGAGCATGCTGAACAGTGGGACTTAGGGAGACAAAGGACCTTTACTGATGAGATTTGTCATGTGCACCCTGCTGGGGGTGGCTGGCCAGGGGGAGTCTCGGCCCAGCTGGTTCATCCAGCACCCCCCCAGTGCCATTCCTTAGCAGGCGAAGCAGGCACTGGAACCTACCATGTCCAGCGTGGAAACCTGCCCCCGCCCCCCTGTCAGAGGCTCTCTGGTCTGGGTGGATCCAGATGACTGTCTCAGCACCTCCCCTGTACTCCCCTGGCCTGGCCTGGATGACCACAGCGGCCTCCTAGCTGGCCTTCCAGCTTCCTCCCACCTTACCCACCCCCCCACCGCCCCTGCCCCATTCAGTCCTCTCAGGGGTCATTTAAAAACTCAGGGCAGGTGACAGTGTCCCTTTGTGATTTAACTCCTCCACTGGCCTCTAGTCACATAAAACCCAAAGTCTACATTCTGAGCTATGGCTCCCTAGTCCCCTCCGCCCACCTCCCGACCTCAGCAGCCCTTCCTCCTGTCTGAACGGGTGGTGGCACAGGGCCAGGATTTGGGGGCATCCTGGTCACTGCCGTGCCCGCAGCACAGAGACCCTGGAGACAGTCATCAGGAGTGGTCCTCCGTCCGCATGGTGTCCTGATGTTTCGCCCCACGCCACCAGCAGCCAGCGCAGAGCCAGCGCTTAGGGCCTCGGGCACTGCCACCCCGCCTGCCCCCGGGGCCCTCCTAAACACACAAGGCCGCTGACTTCTTGGAAGCGTTTACTTAGCTCAAGTCTGAAGCTCGGACAGCTGACAAGGACGCTTTGGAGAGTGGGTGCAGACAGTTAAACAGGTCTCCGGGGCTGGGGCGCAGCGCTCCCGGCCGCAAGCGCGGAGCGCACCAGGCGGCGCCGCTCTCCCCGGGTGCTGCGGCTGCGCTCCAGGCTCCGGGCGGACGCGGTGCTG